AAAGTGAAGTTTCAAATTCATTAGGCAACCTGAACGCTGAAAGTTTGCGATCATATTGGCCACAATATTTTCGTAATCAGCATCTTTGGTGTTGCCTAAAAACTTGGTGCACACTTCCTTGAAACTTAGCCATGATGCCTTTTCTTGTTCATCCATCACTGAAACAAATGGTTCATCTTTGAACAACGTCCGAATTTCCGGTCCATCAAAGATGCCTTCTCTCAATTTCGCATCTGATTTGTGCTTAAACACTTGACGCAGGTATGTAAAGCACTCTCCTTCTTTATCAAGAGCTTTCACAAACTGTTTTACTAACCCAAGTTTAATATGAAGAGGAAAAATAAGAATTTTGGCTGGATCAACAAGCGGTTTTCTTATTATATTATTTAATCCAACCCTAAATGAAGATCTCGAAGGCCAAACTTTTTTAACGTAGTGATTTTTGCGATCTCTACTGTCAAACATACACAAATAGCATGGATACTTCGTGAATCCAGATTGTTGTCCTAGGATCATGGACAAAATCTTCAAATCACCACATACTTGTCATTAATGTTCTTCATACTTAATTTTTTCCAGGACAGTTTCTAGATTTGTGTACTCTTCTTTAAAAGTACAGTTGAGTTAGCTAAAGGTAAAGGAGAAAATTTGTTGGCGTTCTGAATATGAACTGCCTTAAGACTGCTTTGAGACGAGTCAATGAATAACCGCCAATCTTCAGGCTTATATATATTCGCCTTTAAGTCATCCACAAATCCTTTAACATCAGTACAAAAAAGCAAATTTTCCTCTTTTTCAAAATATTTACAGAAAGCCTCTTCTTGATTCCGATAAAATGAAACTTTAGTACCTTTTGTCAGAAGATTTCTCCTTTTCATACTTGAAGCCAATATTTCAGCTGCTTCGTTTGAGAGTTTAGCTTCTCTAAATAAATCATTTAGATGTTGTTGGTCGTATGTTTCTGGCTTTTTCTCTTCACCGATCGGCCTGTACTCTTCTTCACTGCTCGAAGAAACTTTTTCATCAGGTTCACTGGAATCAGATTCACTACCAGTAGCAGACTCTTCGTCATTAAGAGCTACATTCTCAGGATCGACGTCAACTTCCATTGTATCGAAACACTGGTCAGGCTGTCTTTTGACGTATCATCTTAAAACAGTGATACCTTAGCAGGTTTTGTGACCCCCTAACCAAGGTATCCTGTTCACGCCAGAGATGTTCTGGACGCCACCAGGAGAGTTAATTGGTGTTGAGTTCACTCGGCCTCCTGGAACCGAGTTACTAAGGCTAGCTCACACTCAGAGAGTGGGCAATCCAAAACTGGTATTCGGTCACAGAATAAACTTAATAAATTTATTATTGCTAAGTGAGAGGAAGAGGCTCGGTTGTAGAAATTATTGTCACTGCACAACCACAATTTAATCAGACAAATTAATCAATTTATTTATAACGACTCTACTATTAATGACTCGAATTTAATTTAAGAAAACAATGGAAATAAAACCCCAAGAATTTATAACGATGTTGAATTTCTTACGTCGTGGTTCCGTGTCTTTAGGTCTTCCTCTGTGAGTAGGCTCTCCATAAACAACGATTCCCCCAATAGTACTGGACTGGTCTTCACAATGGTAACTAAACTCAACTCTGAACTTTAGTGTGAACTATTTGCTCGCAGACCAAGAACTGACTGGAGGTAGTAGTCCCAAGCTTCCCACTCCGGAGACCCCGACTGTGTGAATCATTCTACACATCCCGTTAAAGGGCAGTTGTCATCGTAGTCTAAACACTCCGTGGTAGCAGGTTTTTGCCGGTAAATGTACCGATTCAATGTCCTGACATTTTCTATTGTCCCTGTTTAAAAACTCCCATAGGATCCCATCAAAAGCGACAAAAGCCACTTAGAAACCAATAAAATGTATTGGTTTCTAAGTGGCTTTTGTCGCTTTTGATGGGATCCTATGGGAGTTTTTCAACAAGGGTATCAAAGACAAAATTCATTCGATGAAAGACTTCAATAAGACACAATAAGTGGCAAATAAACATAGTTGCGAATCAGTGATGGATGCTACAGAGAGAAACAAAGCAGGAACTGCAATTTGATCATAACATACGGAAAATATTATTATATAATGGATTTTATCGGTTTTTTTTATTTTTCTCCGTTTTTTGCAGTTTGACCCCCAATTTTGACTTCAGATTCGTGTTCAGCGGTAAAAATACGCCGGAAAGTATATGTCGCACACCCAGCACAGACCACTTTTTTTTGTGGACCTGTGTTACCTTCATGTTAATTTTATATCTATATAGTATTAAAATCCGATTCTTTTAAATCATTTCAAATTAGATTTCTTAATCAGGGATAAAATAATACTGAGAAAAATTAACATTAATGAAATTATTTATTCAAAATAAAACAATTTAAAATTAACAAAATCGACAGATTAATTTTAACAATAATTATCTTAATAACTACAGAAATTTCCAGAAAAACCTTCACTATCTATACAATTATTTTTACTATTTTAAATTTTGTTGTGATAATTTCAACTAAAATAATTTAATTTTGCCATGGGGTCTGTAATAAATTCACTAAATTTATTTTATTTTATTTAATTGCTTTTTAAAAGTACATAGGTCTTTTTTACAGCAATGTGAGAGGCGCAGAAGATTAACAATTTGTAAATTTATAAATTTATAACTTTTTTTTTTTTTTCGAAATAATTTACAAAAACAGGTTTTTATGTTAGGTAAGAATAGTTGAGTCATCAGTCAAACTAAATAAAGTTTAAATAAAAAGAGAGAAAAAAAAAAAAAATAAAAATATTTGGTTGAAAAATATAAAAGTATTTATAGTGCTTTAAATCAAGTTCAGAGCAATTTAAACCAAGTCAGAATTCAACACTGTTATCATTCTGGGCTCGATGATGAGAGGAGTGTTCTTTTCTTTAATGCACTTGAGATGAAATTTGTAATATTATCCAGTTCAAGTTTGGATTGAATTTCCAAGATTTTAATGATCTGCATCGCACTCGGCGTCATTTGAGATGATTCGGAGATACGTAGATATTTATGTCTGAGTTCGCTGTATGCTGAGCAATGGAGAAGGATGTGCTCCACTGACTCAAGGCTAAGACCACAAGCTTCACATATTTGATCAGGTTTCAGGAAGTAGCAGGTGTCATTGCATGTAATTTTACAACGGTGGATATTTGCGAGTCTTAATTGTGCAACAACATGTTTTTGCCATATTGGGCATCTGGTTTGAACGTACCATGGAACATCATCATATCGGGTTCTGATGAGCTGAGACTGGGGACTTGTTGAACACAAGTACCTGATAAGGTCGTTATTTTTGAGATGTTCAGCATAAAGTTTCAGGAAGAGTTTCTTCTTTTCCATCCAGAAGTTTGGCTGAAGATTACCAAGCATGCACTCAAGGTTACATAGCTTTAGGATTAATTCTAATTTTGCCACCCAGTTGTATTTGGGATCCTTGTTCGGGCTTGTCGAGAGCTTAATAAGTCGAAGCAGGCATAAGCGAGGCCATCGGTCGGGGGCCATCTTCAGAATGCAGATGATCCAATTCCACACGTATTCCATAAGTCTTACTGATAAGCTGGTAAGTCCGAATTCAAGCCTTAATAGATATCCAGGGGTGTTCTGAGGAAGTAGAAAGATCTGTTTTAAGAAGCGGTCTTGTGTTTTTTCAATGATATCTAGACGGTCGAGACCCCACACTTGAGCTGCATATAGGAGTGAAGGTGAGATGATGCTGTCGAATAGTTTGATTTTAGTTTGCCATGCGTCTGATTTGGATTTTGCCAGAAGTGAGCCTACTGTGCCTATAGCTATGTGTGCTTTATTTATTGCACCTTCTGCTGCTAGCCGGCTATTGGTGTTCCCGCTGATGATGGAGCCGAGATAGTTATAACTTGTTACCACCTCCAGCTGCTGGTTTTTGTAAATAAAGGCGCTTTTTTCCTTGTTGTGAGTTCTGCCTGAGCGTCTGCAGACCATAACTTTGGTTTTGGAGGTGTTGACGGATAGGCAATTCAAGTCAAAATAGTCTTCTAAGGCTTTTAGTATTTTTTGGGCTTCAATCAACGTGCGGGCAAAAACGACAGTGTCATCAGCATATAAAAGAGCCCTAAGGCACTTATTTTCAATATTGATTCCTTCGAAACCTTTCTCTTCTAAGTAATCGGTTAGATCTGAAATGTAGGCTGTAAAAAGAGATGGACTCAGCTTCTCTCCTTGGAGTACACCCTCTGTAACCTCAAAGTCCCTGGTGAAGTTATCTTCAACTTTAATTTTGACAGCTGCCTTGTTATACACATTTCTCAGGAACCTGAGTAATTTGCCACTAACCCCTAGATGAAATAGCTTTTTCCAAAGGAGATGATGAGGTACAGAGTCAAAAGCTCTTCTGAAGTCGATAAATATACAGTAGAGAACGTTGCCATCAAGTCTTAATTTCAATTGGATTGCAGCGTTGAGTGTAAAAATGTGGTCTAAACAGCCTCTGTTCTTTCTGAATCCTGTTTGTTCTTCTGGTAGAATTTGACAATTTTCAAGCCACCTGTCGAAGCGGCGCTGAATGATGCTTGTGAGGATTTTGAAAGTGTTATTTATAAGGGCAATCCCTCTATAGTTTGAGGTGTCATTCTTCTCTCCTTTTTTATAGAGCATGGATAAGGATGCAGTGATCCAGTAGTCTGGGATATCTTCCTTGTTCCAGCATTTATTTAGTAAAGCTTCTAGGTACATGAGCCAGTTGTGTGGAAGGTTTTGGAGGAATTCGTTGGTTATTCCATCCGGTCCTGGGGCTTTATTTTTCTTGCATCTTTTTAGTGCTAAGTAAACCTCCCCAGACGTTATATCGGCGTCCATATATGGGTGTCTGGCATCATAAAAAACCGTGAAGTCCCAGATTCGGGGGTTGTAGACTTTAGCGTAGAACTCCTCCCACTCGACTATGGCGATTGGAGGCTTCAAAGTTTGTGAATTTCTGAAGCGTTGCACTGTTTTCCAGAATTCCGATGTGCATTTGACTTTTGCGAGTGAGTTTTGAACATCCTGGTAGTACTCTTTGCGCTTTTGCTTCTTAGCTTTGGACAGCGATTTCTTGCAGCTTGCTAATTCGGCACTATTGTTCGTGTTGAAGCCTTGAGTTTTACACATTTTTTGACAGCGAGCGACGTCAGCTCTCAAGCGACGGACTTCACCATCTATCCAGGGCTTTCGTGGGAAGCATCGAGTTGGGTTGATTGGGTTCTTGGTCATTTTGGTTGTGTTTGCTGCGTCACTGATGGCTTCTTCGAGATTTTTGGCGAGAGAATTTAGATCTGATTTGTCGAAATCAATGCAAATACGGTGTGAGTTGGTTAGCTCCGATTTGAAGACCTCGCTATTGTTTGGATCCCATTTCAGCTTAGTCCTTGTTTGAATGTGTTGTGCAATGGTGTCATTTTTTAATTTTAAACTTAATAAGAGTGGATAGTGATCGGAGTCATACGATTGATCTTTTATCTGAAGATTATTCACCAAGCGCGCCGCCTCGAAGTTTGACCATATCAAGTCTATAATACTGGTACCCATTGATCCACAAAAAGTTAAATTTCCGCAAAGATCACCTGGTGTTCTTCCGTTTAGTAGTAGGAACCCATTTTCCTGCATGAAATCAAGGAGCATTTTTCCTTTGGCCGTGTGACTGCAGTCCAGAGAGGATCTTCCAGGAGAGAGGTTGGTGCCAAGTAATAATTCTGGAGGTGTGTTGATGTCTAGGCCACCCATCCTGGCATTAAAATCCCCCCCGAGTATTAGAGGGCCATTTTTGAACGGAGCTAGCGACGTGTTTAAGGCCACGTGTAGTTGTTCAAGGACCGGTTTGAAGTTGAAGTTAGGTTGCAAATAAAACGTGCCAATGATTAGGTTGAGTTCAGGTAATTTGATTCTAATAAAAATCCACCAACAAGAAACATCAATAATAGCTGATTCAACACTGTTGGAAACCATGACAAGAATTCCACCACTTGCTCTACCGCGGAGGGATTTTACAGCTGGAGACCAATAGTGATTAAACGTATTCAATCCGATTGGGTTGGTGGGTACATGAGATAGCCAGGTTTCTGTGATTCCTAAGAACAATAGATTTGTTGATTCTAAATTTGAGATATTTTCGTACCCATGGCAATTCCAGAAAATTACTTTGGTTGGTTCTGACTTGGTTTGATTAATTAGTTTTTTGATAATAGAGATATGGATTGGTCGGTTTGCATCGGTGATCCATTGTTAATCCTAACTGTTTTCTCGACAAGTTTTGCTTTGTTTTTGTCCCAGTAGATCCGTACATTGTCAAAGAAAAGTTGATTGGATTTGATTTTGACTGATTTTCCCTTTCCTATCTCCACTTTTGCACATTCTCTGAGTTTAAATGCAATCGCACGCTCTTCTGGGGTTAGATCATTCTCAATATATATTTCGGTACCTTTTAGAGCGGCTTTCTTGTTCTTCATTATTCCTGTTTTCAGCTCCCAATTAGCAAGACAAACTTTAAAGACGTTTCGCTGCTTACCAATCGTGTATACTGTGATGCTTGCTCTCGGAATATTAAATTTCTGCTCTAGGAAGAGTTTAACATCATTATACGTTGATGATGGGTTGGTTTGAAGACCTTTGATGATTACGTTATTTTGCTTGAGAAGTTTAGATTGCTCTTCTAGCAACCCAGAAATTTTATCCACTTGATTTTTTACTGTGGAATCCAAGGATTGTTCAGCCGGATTTTTGATTTTGGCTTCCAGGCTCTCCAATCTAGAAATAATGGAGTTAAGCAGTGTATTATCAGATTCGGAAATTGGAACGGACTTACTTGCTTCCAAGATTTGGATTTTGTTGATGATAGTTTTTTGCTCTAGCTTCAGTGAGTCCAATTCTTTGGTGGAAGCGTCAATTTTCGCCTCTGTACAGTCTAATCGCTTACTCAGGGTCTCCATTGAGCTGGCTATAGTCGAGTTCATAGTTTGAGTTTGCTTGGCATTTTCCAGTTTTAGGGCCACAAGCTGGCTGGCCAGCCATTGAAACGAAGCTTGGGGCGTGAGATTTGCAAAATCAGGTACTATCGTCTCGTTTTCTGTTGACTTTGGAGGTGTTGCATCATCCATCTTGTAGACTTCGAAACGTTTCAGAATTTTGTTGGTAGTAAATTCTTCCGGAGATATGGGTTGCTCTTCGCTCTCAACTCGGCTTCTGAACCGTTTATTGGTTTTCTTGGCAAAGAGTTCTGGAATAGAGCCTACTGAATGGGCTTTTTCTCTTAATCTTAGCGCTGCTAGGTTTGGTCGGCCTGGCTTATTTGGTTCAGGGGGTTGCACGGGGTTGTTTTTTGGAGCTTTGAGTGTCGTCATAGGTTTCGATGCAGAAGGCTTAGTGAGATTTTTTTGACTCGAATTATTTAAATCAGGCATAACCACACTGTTCTTTGGAGCACTAAGATTGTCCAAGTCAAAGATGTAAATATAACCTCACTTATAGATGACCACACGTGAGAGGTCAGATATTTTATATTTATAGTTCGTGCTTATTAAGTTTATATACACGATAAATTATATCCGTCGTAGGATCATAAATAGCATGTCAAATAATTAATTAGGTAAAAGCACAAATTAATACAGATAAAATTAATTGATTTATAAAAATACATGATGCTCACTCTGAGTCGCTCACAGCGCCCTCTCTCTAAATTCACTAAATGAGTGAATGACCTCAACGAATAATTTAATGTAAAGAAAACCAACTAATATAAAGAAAACGCCAGAGACAGTTGCGATTACTATTTAGAAAAAATTAGAAATATGGTTCACCCTAAAGGCCATCCCTGCAACTCCCTGCTCATTTTGTACTTAAACGCTTCAAACTACAAATTACGTTTTTGAGCTCTTCGAGCTCAAAAATATTATTTTTGTGTCAATTTGAGCTCTTCGAGCTCAAAACTCTAATAGCAGTTTAAAGACACAATTTTTTGAATTTTCAAACGGCAATAACTTTTGAATGAATGAACCGATTTTCACGCGGTTGGCGGCAATCGACACAGTTTTTGAAGCTCCATGAAAAATATCCAAGTTTAAATCGATTGAGCAATGAATTTCGAAGTTATTACAAAAAAACACTTTTTTCGATTTTTTTCGACAACGATATCTCACGAACGCATCAACCGATTCTAACGTTTTTGGTGGCGATCGATGGGAGTTTTCAAGGTTAAGAGCTGATTAGTTTTTGAGACCGATCGGTTCAGCCAATTCGGAGATATTTAAAAAAAATAAAAAAAAAAACAACTTTTTTTTTCACTTTTTTTGCATTTTCTCGAAATCTACCGGTCCGAATCGGTTCAAATTTTCAGGAAATTAAGTTTAGTGAAGCCCTTTCAAATGACACCAACCGCGATGAAATCGGTCAAGTCGTTCAAAAGTTACAAGAGGTTTACACACACACACACACACACACACACACACACACACACACACACACACACACACACACACACAC